ATGTGCAGGGCTGCAGCCTTCTTTAGTCCAGAATAAATCACAAGCTCGGGATAAGACTGATTTAGAGCGTAAAGGACTGTGAAATATTTCCTTTGTCCTCTGGTGACTGGGGTTATAAGAAGACTTTAATTGATTAAGACCTCTTTAATTGCTGAATAAGCAAAAACCAAAAATATTATCTCTTCCCAGAGGAGTGCGCAGCTGTTGCCTGCATACCTTTAATTCTTTACTTATTGTGAGGTAGATGTTTTTAAAAATTACCCTGCACAGGTATTTCAGATGTCTCTTAAATTTTCTGATTAAATGACTAATCTATTTCAAGTCATCTCATACATTAGTTTATCTTGGTAGATTTCCTACACCCTTCATCTTTCCTTTCTGGGGACATACATCAAGAAAAAAAGTCCTGAATATCTGAAATTTGGGCTAGAATTAACTTGTATGATATGCTGCAGAAATATGCTTTAGATAAGGGAAAAATATTCAAGAATTAAGTCTAGGTTTCTATATATGTGGTATTTGCTCTCCATCCTGCTCTAAGCATTGAGGTATGGAAACTCAAAGAATGGTAAGTTTTAAGAAAGTCTACATTGAAAATACAATTTTCATTTCAATCACTGTCCTGCTCCAGATATAATCGGCTTTAAAATTCTTATTTCCTGGAATGTAGCTAGTTTTGTAGTTAAAATAATCAGGAAAATGCACATATATAATAAGAAAGAATAAATAAGAGTAGGGGAAAACCGCTGCTGCTGTACTGCTGTCAGGACATAGCCATAGAAATTTCACAGGTAGTTATTATTGCATTTTACATTCTGTTGGAATGAGATAGTTTTGAAATTGTAATGACGCTCAGATAGTAAAACTGTGTAGAGCTCCAGCTTTTTTAAAGCAGGTAGTAATCTTCCCTTCACTCTGATGGTGTTGGCAAAGTTGATCAACCCTCCCAGAACAAACCACTGGAAAAAACTTGTCTTTCACATTGGCTCATTTTCAGTGTAGCCACCACTCTGGATGGTGCAATGGGAGGAGCAAAGGATAAATGAGGGATAGGGAGTGTGTAGGACAGAGGAAATTTCAGAATAAATATGTCTAAAATAAGAATTTATTGCTGGTGTGATTGAAATATTAACAGTCTAATCCAAGAAGGAAATAATAGTTCAGACTAAATAATTACATAAGAAAGAAAAATGCTTCAATGCAGAAAAACTTCAATAATAATATAATAACGATAACTATAGAATTACAATCATTATTCTCACCCTGTTTAGTTTTTAGACCCTTTCTGCCTCACTATTTCCCTGCTCCTCTGGGTCCTAGGGTTGGTGGTTTTTGTTTAGTGGTTGGTGGTGAAGGGGGAGCTTTAGCCCACTACCAGTGTCTGGAAGTGCAGGATGTTCATGGTGGTATTTTCCTCTCCTCCATTTCAAGACACACATGGGGCCACATTTATGTATTTGCTAACACATTTTTACACTTTACTCGTTTTAAATTGCTCTGCAGCTCCACATTACATCTGAATATATGATATATGATGCATTTTATATGTGTTAGAAGTACTCACTCTTTGTTGTCTCTGTTACCCCTAAAGCCAGGTTTGGCTGGCTCCAGCTTGTCTACCTTGTGCAGGTTGTTGAGGTCAAGAAAGCCCTTCCTCTGAGGCTTAAAGAGCTCAGTCCAAAGCTTTTGCTTTCTTAGTGACAATGGCAATACTGTATTACAGGTTTGCATGGTAATAACCTGTCAATTTTCTGCAGTCCATTTCCCTTGTGCAGCATTCAGTTGTTGAATTAGGGATGTTTGAAGGCACATCCTGCCCACCCTTTTAGTATCCCCCTGTGGGTCTGTTGTGAATTTCCTTTGTAAGAAATCTTTGTATCAGACATAATTCCAGAGAAGAAAAGAATCTTTCCGAGAACGTGGACTTAAACCAGTCTTTATCTTTGTTCCTTAGATCTCCCAAATTAACCATGTGCTCTGTCTCTTAAGGACCAACTGAAAAAAAAAAAGGAAGAAAGGGAATTCGCTATGCTTGTCACATATGACAAAATCCATAGAAAGGACAATCTTCTTCAATGTCTGTAGGAGATCAAGCACATGAAGGCGTTCGTGTGGTTGGAATATTATCCGAACTAGTTGGCAGCGGAACACTAATAAATCAGATTAGACAGGTAAACCTATTGTTCCTGTAAATTCAAATTAAATTATCTTTCTTTCTGTCTGTTGAAGATATTTCAAGATGTCCAGTGGTGAGTCACTTCATCTCAACCACCAACCCAAAGAAGAGGAAAGACAAAATGCAGATGAAAGGGAGCACAGCTTACAAAGGGCCTGTGAGTATTGAGCAGGGTTTATGTGATAAGCCCTCATAAATATATCTTTATTGTAGAATGATTCTCATAGAATAGTCTAGTTTGGGGAAAAAATTGTCAAGTTCAACTGTAAAATTATGCTGAGTTTTATTATTTCATTATGCCTGTGGTCATCTGTCAGGGAAGCCTATACTAATTCCAGCACTGGAATCTTGTTCCTGCACTACCAGCAGAGCTGGGCTGTTCCTGGTGGTGTGGGCTCTGGGGCTGGCCGTGCACACACACATGGGACAGGGGGCACCGCCCCACCCACTCACAGCTGCCCCTCTTCTCCTACCACTTCCCCACCTGGATGCTGGCAGCCAGCCAGCCATTCCTCTGGTGTCCTACAACAGCTCAGTACTGCCAGTTTTACCTAAATAACTTGTGTCCTAACTTTACTTGAGTATTTTCTTAAAGATGGCTTTAAAAAAAGCACAGGGTTGTCTATAGGAAGAAAGGGACCCAAATCAGGAAAGTGTCTTGGGGCAGTGGCACTTCCTCTCCGAAATGTCTTTTCTTGTACACTGGTGGAAGGAAAGTGCTGTGAGACTGACCTGGCCCTGAGGAGGTTTGCAATCTCCCTCTCTGCCAAGCTTCTGTGAGCTTTTCTTCTTGGGACTGATTCTGGCTGAAAGGCAACTGCAGTATTTATCCCACTAGCAACATTAGGGAACTAATGTTCTTTAAGTCTCAAACCATGGAGGTAAGCACATGATGGAAGTTCCTTCATAAACAGAATTTGTTGGAGAAGACAAGATGTAGTTAGCAGCTAAGGAGTTGTATAAAGGAGTATGTAACAGGCTATGTCCTGACAGCAAGCATGTCTCAATGGCTGTGCATCTCAGGGAGGCCTGGAATAGAGGGATCCCAGCCTGCACAGTTAGTATGATCAGATAATTCAAAAGCCTGAGAAGAAATGTGAATAAAGAGGGTGGATAAAAAAACTAGGGGCTAATACACAAGAATCAATACTCTATTGGTATGCAAGGATGAAAAATACTAAACTATCATCTTACTTTTCTCTACAATTAAGAAAAATATCAAGGCTGATTTTTGTGCTGTCTTTAGAAGCTTGGTACTCTGTGGATGGTCCCAGTGGAACTTAGGGTGCAAATTTCAGAAGAAAATGCATTTCTGGAATGAGGTGAAAAAGGATTATGAGGGATAAAAGAGCAAAAAAAAAAAAAAATTATAGAATTGATTACTTCTGATGCTCTGTGAATAATACATTCTCTAATCAAGTGTAGAATAATTCCAATGCACAGAACTAATCTGTTCATTAAGCAGAATGAAATCTAACAATCACTAAGAGATTCAGGTGATGACTGGGAGCAAACCCTGCTCCTTTCTTTGAGCTACACCAGTGAATAGTGGCAAACAATACTGGTGATGGGATGCACTGTTAGAATCAGGGAACTTTACAATACAGCAGGTTTGTGAGAGCAGGTTTTTTTTTTTGCCACGTGCTAAATATGAAAACTCCTATGTTCTTACACAATACCCAGTGACTATGCTGGAGGTTTGATAGCAGTATCCTGTTAGTTGCACATCTAAATGCTTTCAAGTCATGGTAACAGTCAGGTGGAATGGCCTGTGCCACTTCAGGTGTCTATTTTCCTGCATGAAACCAATTACGTGCAGCAGAGAACCACCATGTGACCCACAGAAATCATGAGGAGGCATTATTTGGGGTTTTTTCTTGCTATTTCAATTAGCCTGCTTAATTCTGAATGCTGTGTGGACAGTGTGCTAGGATAGCATCAAACACAGCATTTGCAAAACTGTGCTTTAGGCTCGGCTCTGTGTGAATGAAATGCAAGAGTGAATAAATGGAATTGCCTCTAGTCTGGATAATTATTGCAGCACTGTTTATGGAATTCAGTGAAACAAGACTGTATTTGGATGACACTTTGGCTCTGGCAGGGTATCTCTAGGGGACACAGAATAACAGCCATTGCAGTGGGGTGTATTTCTCTATGCTGCTTGCTGATACAATCCCTAAGTGTGATTCTATCACATCCGCTAGAACAACTTCTACTGGTGTAACAGGTGAAGGTTGAATCCATGCAAGTAAAAGACTCGGTTGGTATTGTCTCTTCAAGCTTTTCAAGAAGTCTTGTTTCTTCAAGTTTTTGAGAAGCTAGCATCCAAAGTCTATGCCTTCTTTTGTTAACAGTTAAGTGCTCTGACTTTTATCTACGTAGTCAAAATCTGGCTCCTGATTACTTGTGAATGTAAATTGTTCCTTGATGGTAAGTTACTAGGAAATTATTTTATAATAACCAGTGGCCTAACTCATTCCCCTCCCTCAGTGGGAGCCCTTGCATTTGGCTGTAGTGAATTTTTACCATATAATTTGAAAATCAAACATGAAAAGGATGAGAAAAAGCAGATATATTTTCCCTATTAACAGGATTTAGCAGTTAGGTATTAAAGCAATCAAGACTTTAATCTTTCATTTATATTATTATAATCTTTACAATTATCTTTAAGGTGAAAAAAAAAAAGAATATAAAATCACTGTATATGTTGTAGTATTTCCCTAAAGAGTTATTTTCTGTCCTTGCAGTTTTCTTCCACCTGATATCCACCATTTTTCCTAACAGAAAGATGAGGAAATGCAAAATCATTCCTTAAAATGTCTTTTTCTTCAGGAAATAATTTGTTTTCTCTTTGTCTGTGCATATGTAGTGAACAGCCCCCCCTCCTGCTCATGATAGAGGGCTCAGAGTTTTTACCTCTGAAATGAGGTATTTTAATGCCAGATTTTTAAAAAGGCTGTGAATTTGGGGTGCTGAATTCCTTGAAAATCTGACTTTACAGTTTCTATAAAAGTGTTCATGGCCTCAGTTGACTCAGCTTATTTTTTGAGTTCTTGCCAACTGCTAGACTGGAGCCGTTGAAAACTCATTTTCTAAATTACCCCTTTTAAAGGCTGCCCAAACCACCAGGAATTTTGTCTCTGTTATTGATTTATTTAAAATGAACTTAATGAGTCTAACTCCAGTGTTTGAAGGTAGTCATTAATTAGCTAATGTTTTAACATAAAACGATCAGTGGATTGAAGAGGATAGAAATACAATTAACTATTGATCGCTGGGATTAGGATATGGTAAACCACGGGAGGCTTCTAGCCTGCCTTCTATTGAAAAGCCTGCCCTTGGCTTAGAGGAAGCTTGGACGGACTATGTCCAGAACGCTGTCTGCCGAGGGGAAAACACAGCAGTCTCCTGGGAACCAGCAGTATGTCCGTTCTGTTGTGTTTTTTGGTTGAGTTTTTTTTGTTGTTGTTTGTTTGTTTGTTTGTTTGTTTTTTTTCCATCTGGGATAACATTCTTCATTATCGTAGCCCATACTTCTCCAGAATTTCTCGCAAGGAGGAATTCCCAGGCTGCGATTTCGATCCTGCAGTTACCGCCGGTGCCGCGCTGCCCGCCGGAGCCGGAGCCGGAGCCGGGCGTGTCCCGCGGTGTCCGTGTGTGACACCGGGGCGCGTTCCACGGTCGCTGGCCCCCGCCGGGCGCCGGCCACCCCAGCGCCGGCTCCGCTCGGACCTCGCCTCTCGGATCCGCCGATCCCCTCCTCGCCCGGGGCTCGGCAGAGGCCGTCGGGGCCCCGCCGTGTGTGCTGTGCTGAGCCCAGCCCGAGCCCAGCCATGGTGCTGGCGGACCTGCACAGCGCGGCCGCCACCGCGGACCTGGCCCAGCTGCGGCAGCACTGGTGGCTGAACAAACACCGCATCAATGGATACAACCGGGACAAGCAGTAAGGACAAACAGCAGGCCCTCCGCCTGTTCAAAATTGTCAAAATTATCTGAGTCGGGGTGGGTTTTTTTTATGAATGTATTTTGCCTGCTTTCAAGCCTAAGTAGCAAGAAAGGAGACAATCAGTGGAACAGCAGCTAGCATCCCTTAGCCAAGGACATCCTGGAACTAACAAGCATTAAAAATGTAGTAAATCAAGATATTGTTGTCTCAATAGAACAGACAGCAGAAGCATCCTTAGTGAAGGACATCTGTAAAGGTTGTTGTAAATCAAGATGTTGATGTATTTCTATGTCTATACGTTGCCAGTTTGGCAAAAGACTCAAAGTCCGTGTATATCGTAGTTGTATTTTCTTCATTATAGTACTGAAAACCACACCTACAAGTTAAAAAGACCACGTGAAGACCCCTCCCCTAAGCATGCACAGAAGTTAGCTGTGGTTACATAATTTGTATGGAAACTATTAACCAGTCATGGTAGAGAGGCAGTACTTGGGAAGCTATTAATTCTGAACATCTATGTACTAATTATAGCATGGAAAGCCCAGTGGGGTGTGCTTTATTTATGAAATACCATTGAGCACCCAGGCACGTGTAACTCTGAAACACATAATCCACGTCTCTCACAAGTGTGTGATTATTGACTTGCTGCACACCAGGTAACAAACCCAATATCGCAGAGAACACACCCACCCTGTCTGGAAGAGCCAGCCAAGCACAGAACTGTGCCTGGCAGCAGGGTTAGCCCCAGAGCACCAACCTTACAGGAGCCCTGCCTGAGCTGTAATAGGAGACAGTGAAAGCTCCACTCTGCTCTGCTCTGGAGCCTGGGCCCTGTACTTGATCATCTTTTTGTCCCATCCCTGTTTATCCAAGTCAGGCTGGATGGGGCTCTGAGCAACTTGGTCAAGTGGAAAGTGTCCCAGCCCATGGCAGGGGCTGGAACTAAATGGTCTTTAAGATCCCTTCCATCTCACACCATATTAAGATTTGATGATTCTGTGGAGCTCATCAGCTTCCTTTCCAGGTGCCAGACTGAGCAGCTTGGTTTAGCAGGGCATGGATTCACAGAAAGCCAGAACAGCCTTCCTAATGCTGTCAGAAGTCCCATCCCATCAATCTCTGGGACAAAACTGATGCAGGACTGATGGGGGGGAGGGGGGGTTCTCAGGGGCTCACACTGGTTCTGCACTGTCTGTAGATTTACACAGCCTCCATTGCTAAGCAGTGTTTACCCCAAGTCAAGGATATTTTCAGTGTCTCATACTCTGCCAGTGAGAAAGTACACAGAAAGCTGGAGGGAGCTTAGCCAGGTCAACATTCTGAAATGGGATTTGGCATCAGCCAGTGGGTTGTGAGCAACTGTATTGTACATCCCAGTTTTTTCTTGGGATTTTTTATTTGCTATTATTATTATTATTATATTTATTTTATTTCAATTTTTTCTATTTATCAATCTGTTATAATTTAATTGTTATTTTAAGTTTTAATTTTGATTCTTCTCCCTGTTCCACTGGGGTGGAGAGGGAGAGGATGTGAACGAGTAGCTGCATGGTGCTTCTTTGCCATCCAGACTTAAACCAGGACAACAGTATATGTTTAATTTCTAGGACACCTCTGCATCTTGCTTGTATAAATGGCCATGCAGATGTTGTTCAGTTTCTGGTAGAAAAGAAGTGCAAGCTAAACCCTTGTGACAGACTGGATAAATCACCACTAATAAAGGTATGCAGAAGGGGTATACATTCTGTAATCTTTAATGACACTCATACTTTCCAGTGTTGGGAGGGTGTGGGAGTTCTGACAGTGAGAAACACAGATGCTGGAAGTTATTTCTACTTTATTTCTTGTTTCCAGGCAGTAGAGCACCAGCACAGGGACTGTGCAGCTATTCTGCTGGAACATGGTGCCAACCATGACCACAGGGCTGTAAACGGTAACACTGCCCTTCACTTTGCTGTCATGGCTTCTAGCAAATCTCTAGTGAAGCTGTTACTTGAGCATGGTGCAGATATTGATGCTAAGAATAAAGTAAGCTTGGACTTTGGGTAAAGCTGCTCTTCCCAGGTCGACTTGCTCATCTTCTCTCTGTTATTCTAAGAGCGATGTTTTCTTCTTTTAGTGGGGATACACTCCACTTACTCTGGCAATCATTGAAAACCATGAAGAAATGGTCAAGTTCCTTCTTCAAAAAGGAGCTGACGTGAATGCTCTGGATAAAGTTTATAGGTAAAGGGTTTGCGAAAAGTGCACGTAGGGCTCCTTAGCCCTATTTGAGTTGGATTGATGGGAGACATAAGAATGAACTTTGAAAAACGACCAGGAGTCACCCAGAAGTATCTCCTGTGTGACTTGTGAAAGCAGTCCTGGGCTCAGTTGCCACTTTCTTCAGGGGGTGATTTCCACACTGAGGACTGCAAGAAAGTACTCTGCCATGCCACACACCCACATGTGAGTGTACGTGCAGGTGCACAGGCCCTGCATCTGCTCTGGACAGGTGGCTGTCCAGGAGACCTCACGAGGTCCCACATACCTGAATTCTCCAACATTTGTAGGCATTTGGCTGTCCCTTCACTCTGCCTGTGGGAGAGGGGAAATGAATTGTTTAAGGAGCAAAGAGGAATTAAAGTATTGGCTAGGCAATGTTTGCAAAAGCTGACATATTTACTCTTATCTCTTGGATGCCCTAGGACCCCTCTTGCAGTTGCTACTCTTTCTGGGAATAACAAAGTAATACAACTTCTTCTTCAACATGGTGCTGTTTATCTTGAGCCAGACAAGGAACTCTACCCATGTCAACCTTTCACCAAAATTGTTCAAGATGATCTGTAAGTGTTTTACACCATTGTTAAAACAACCATACTCTCCTAATGTCTGGGCTGATGTACCTCCCTTTTTGGTAACAGCAGAAGGGTTTAATGAGGTGCTGAGAGCTTTGTAGAAGCTGAGCTCGGTGATGTCATCTCTTTCCATGTCAAGAGTAGATTTAGAAGTTGAGGAAAACTTTGTCCTTTCCCCTGAGTTGTCTGAGAATTCACCTGTGTGCTTCCAAGTTACACCACATTGGCAGGAACTACTTGCCTTTTGTTTCAGAGGGGATCTAACTGATATCCCCTGTGTGCTTTACTAGGCTGAGGAAAAAAGCCCTCTTTCACAGTGATGGTAGCCAAGGGATGGGTGAATGTACTGCATTATTCCTTATGCCTTTTCTAGCTATAAACAATTCCCCATGAACTCATGCCACTGGATCTTGACTTCATTTCTTCTTCCCCTGCCCCTTCTGGCAGCCTTTATCAATGGGAAGCAGGAAAGAAGGGAGCTTGTGTAAACTGTGGTGTAAAAACCCCTTTAGGGATAAAGCATGTTTGAAGATTGTTCTTACAATATGTGGCACTCATTCCTTCCCTCCAGGCTTCTGTTACAATATAAATGTCATGATAACGCACCATTCTGTACACCATTCTGTACAGCAACCTCGATCTGGAGAACATGTTTAATTTGTTTTCTTATTTTATTTTTTTGGCTTTTTTCCTGCTTATTAAACAAACCCAAGCCCCAGTCAACTCAGGGTTGTTAGAAGACAACACAGGTCTTGGAATGCAAGCGCAATATTTGTTGGCCTGTTGATAACTCACTTGAGAGCTCTCTAAACTCTGAGGTCCTCAGGCTAACCATGGGAATTTCTGAAGGCCTTCAAAGTGAGGACCTGGACTGAGGAGACTTTAAACCATCTTGCTGTGGAGAGTAGCTGCACCATTAGCATAACATCTAGCTGAGGTAGAGGCTTTGGTGATGTCAGTCTGCCAGGAGGCTTGTTAAATTGGCTCTTGAAATGGAGAGGGGATTTATCAGATGAGACTGTAGCCAGACTGTAGCAGGGATGAGTTACTCCACAGATAAGACTAGGCACCTCTACTGTCAGCATGCCTGTAATGAGGATTTCAGTCTCCATTACCCTGGGACTGCAGTATGTTGTGTGTGTCTGTGACCCTTTAGCAGTTTAGTTCTGTGTGTGTGTGACCATTTAGTCTATGAATATGGGTAGAATGGAGCATGCATAACTTTTACTTTTCCTGCAGAGAGTGCATGGAAGTCTGGGGGGATTTTACCTAAAGCATCTTCTTCCTTTCTATATTTAGCATTGCTAATGAGCAAATTGGGAGTTCCTGCTATGAGACAACTCCTGTCATTCCCTTGGAAACAGCTGCCTTGGAAGAGTCATGTAAGACACTTTTCTATCAAAGAGGTCATGAGAAAAATCACTGTGGCCTGTAGCAGAATGATACCAAATCAATGGAAAGCTGGACTGGGGGGACAGGTCAAAGATCTGGAAAATAAACACTCAAGGCAACACTGTGCTTCTTATCTTATTTCTTAGGTGATGTCCCAAAAGTAGAAGCAGCAGAAAAGAAAAATGATGGTCCAGCTGCAGACCAAAATAAAGTGTCTAGGTGCTCTAATAGAGTGCAGCCCTACAGAGGTAATTTCAGAGGGATTAGATGGTTAACTTCGGAAGCCTCCATGGAATGAAGCAAGTGGAGAAAAGCAGAGTGAAATAAGCACTCACAGAAATGATGCACTTCTTATCTTTCGTTAGGAGACTACAAAGCAGAAGGAGCAGAGAAAAAGGAAGACAAATACTCCCTCTGCAATCCTGAGGTACCTTCTCTGAGGGAGGCAACGGGGTTCCTCTGTCTCCCTGGATTCTGGGTCTGTTTTCCTTTGCTGCTTTTGTCACACACTCGTAACTTGACCTTGACATGCTGCTTCTTCAGACAAGCTGTTCAGCTGGGACTGGGACAAAGTGGGGTCCAGCTTATGTCCTGGGCCTCCTTGCAGCTGGCCTTCAAGTGGGATTTCTAGTATAGCACAGAGCAGTGAAGCTCACTGTTGGTTACACTCCTCTGAAAACTGAAAGGCTTGCACTGTGATGATTATTGTTTTTCCATTCCACAGCTCGCTTCCCTAGATGCATGCAGTATCAACTGGTTTCTATATGATCTACAGTCTAGAGATTAATTCCTTCTGCCTATGTTCTGTCCAGACTGAGCAGGTGGACTTGGTCCTGTTTTGAAAACAATGCTCAGCAGTGATCTAAATGCACTGGCTGTGCATGCTCTTTCTGTCCTTTCCATCACCTTATCCCTCGCCTTAGGCCTGCTGGCTGAAGCAAAGGATTTGAGCAGGGAAGCGGGCGTGGAAGCTGCCTGTGCCAGTTCTTATGTGTGTCTTTTAAATTACACAGACTGATCCTAAAAGTCGAGGGAAAGTGCGGGCCAGAGTGCGGCATCTTGCTGCAAAGAGCACCAGGTTGGATGCGCGCTCTGCTGCAGTGGAACATGGCAAAGGTAATTTCAGAGGGACTAAATGGTTACCTTTGTAAGCCTCTCTGCAGTGAAACAGGTGGAGAAAAGCAGAGTAAATTAACCATCTACAGAAATGACATGCTACTTATCTTTCTTAGGTGTCTTGCCAGCAGCAGCATCAGTAGAAGCAGAAAAGGAAGATTGTGATTCCTCCTGGGATTCTGAGGTACCTTCTCTGAGGGAGGCAGTGGTATCCCTCTGGCTCATGTCCTTTTGAACTCCTTCTACTTTGATGCTGCTTCTGCCACGCCCTCCTTACTTGGACCTTAGCCAGTTGCTGCTTCAGATAATCTTTTCAGTTGGGACTGGGACAAACTGAGCTCCACTAAAGTTTGGGACCTCCTTGTGGCCTGATTCCCAAGCTGGATTTCTAGGACAAAGAAGTAATTCTCCCTTCTGCTTACAGTCCTCTGAAGTCCTAAAAGACTGGCATTGTGAGAGTTGCTTTTTCCCTCCTCGCAAATCTCTTTTGTGAATTGTCAATGTTAAATAGTTGTGTATGACCAACAATTTAGGGATTTATTTCTTCTGCCTAGGTTCTCTCTAGCTTGGGCAGGTAGCCTTTGTCTCTTTTTAAAAATCCTGCTCAACAACAGTGATGGCTCAACACTGGCTTTGTTTGCCCTTTTTGTTCTTTTCATCACCTTATCCATCTCCTTAGGTGTGTTGGCTGAATCAGAAGCTTTGAGCATAGAATTGGGTGCACAAGTCACCTGTGCTACTTCTTATGTGTTTTTTTTTTTTAAATCACACAGCCTTTTTCTGCAATTGTAGAAGAAGTGTTTGCTGGCGGACGGCGTCCTGCTGCAGACCGCAAAGGAGTGGGTGTGCGCTCTCTTGCAGCGGAGCGCAGCAAAGGTAATTTCAAAAGGACTACATGGTTACCTTTGTAAGCTTCCGTGAAGTGAATCAGATTTGGAAGAGCTGTGACAGGTCTCTTATCTGTTCTTAGGGGTCTTGCAACCAGCAGAAAAATCAGGAGAAGATGATAATTCTTCTTGGGATACTGAGGTACCTTTTCGGAGTGAGACAGTGAGGTCCCTCTAAATAACTGGCTTCCAGGCTCATTTTCCTTTGATGCTGCTTTTGCCACACACTCATACCTTAGACTTTGATGACATTGTGCTGCTGCAGACATGCTGTTCATATGGGACTAGGACAAAGTGAGGTCAAGCTAATGTCCTGGGAATCCTTGTGGCTAATGTCCAAACTAGATTTGCAGTAAGGATAATGTAGTAAAGTTCCATGTTTGTTACAATCCTGTGAAAACTGTGCAAGGCTGGCATTGTGAGGATTCAATTTTCCATCAAGCATCTCTCTTCTGTACATGCAGTTAACATCAACTGGATTCCCATATGACCTACAGTCTATAGATTTATTTTTTTGCCTGCATTCTCTGTGTCATGGGCAGGTGTACTTGGTCTTATTTTGAAAACCCTGCTCAATAGAGATGCTGGATATGCTTGCTGTGTTTGCCCTTTTTGTTCTTTCTATCACCTGATCCCTCTTGTTAAGCCTCTTGGCTGAAGCACAGCCTTTGAGTGTGGATGTGGGTGGGGAAGCAGCCTGTGCCAGTTCTCACGTGTGTCTTTTAAATTACGCAGACTGATTCTGAAGGTGAAGGGAAAGTGTTGGCTGCTGTCCAGCTTGCTGCTGCAAAGAGCAACAGGTCGGATGTGTGCCCTGCTGCAGTGTTACACAGAAAAGGTAGTTCCAGAGGGACTAAATGGTTACCTTTGTAAGCCTCTCTGGAGTGAATCAGATGCAGAAAAGCAGAGTAAAATAAACACTCATAGCTATTGCGTGCTTATCTTTTCTTAGGGGTCTTGAAACAAGCATGTAAAAAAGTGAAAAAGGAAGACAGACACTTGCAGCCAGGAGGGAGGGAAGCAAAACAGGAATACAATGATCTTCCCTGGGATTCTGAGGTATCTTCTCTGAGGAAGAGAGTGGGGGTCCCTCTGACTCACCTGCTTCTGGGCTCACTTTCCTTTGCTGCTGCTTCTGCCATATGTTCATAACTTGGACCTTGACATGCTGCTGCTTCAGACAAGCTGTTCAGACGGGACTGGGACAAACTGAGGTCCAGTTAATGTCCTGGGCCTCCTTACAGCTGAAGTCCATGTGGGATTTCTAAGGCAAATAAGTAAAACTTCCTTCTAGTTACAGTCTTCTGAAGTTCTAGGAGGCTGGCATTGTGAGAATCTTTTTCTCCCACCTCACACTTCTCTTCTGTGGATCCAGTCAATGTCAAATGGTTGTGGATGACCCACAATTTCTGTTTCTTCTGCCTAGGTTCTCTCAAGCTTGGGCAGGAGGACTTTGTCTTGTTTTGAAAGATCTACTCAAGAGAGATATGCTTAATATGCTGATGTGTTTGCCCTTGTTCTTTCCTTTACCTGATCCCTCTCTTGTTAGGCCTCTTGGCTGAAGCAGAAGCTTTGAGGGTGGAAGAGGGTGTGGAAGCAGCCTGTGGCAGTTCTCATATGTGTTTTTTAAAATATGCAGACTGATTCTGAAGGTCGAAGGAAAGTGTTGGCAGATGTGCAGCTTCCTGCTGCAGACCAAAACAGAGTGGGTGTGAGTTCTGCTGCAGTGGAGCATGGCAAAGGTAATTGCAGAGGGTCTACATGGTTACCTTTGTAGGCCTCTCTGGAGTGGATCAGTTTTGGAAAAGCAAAGTGAAAGAAGCACTCACAGCAGCAACTCTCTTACTTTTTTTTATCTCTCTTATCAGCTGAAGGAGCAGAACAGAGGAAACATTATATCTCCACGTTTGAGAACAAGGTACTTAGCTCTCTTCCTGATCTCTTACACTACCCTTGGCAGAAGTCATGTTTCTTCATGCTCCCTACTTGGAGGCAGTGTTGATGCTGCCGAGGATTTGTTTCCCATCTTTTTATCTTTTTTCTTGCTTGCTTAGCTCCCTACATTACAGGGAGCAGATCTTCAGCTAAAGGTTGATTCTTCAGCTCAAACAGATTATGAGCAGGACAAACAAGTGACTCTTAGAGACAGATGTAATATCCCTAAATAGAACTTATCAGTGTAAGCACATGTGTTCTTGCTAGTGAGTATATTTTGAAATAGTGCTGAGAGGAAGTAACTAATCTGGACCTGAGCTGTAATTTGGACCTAATTTCATATGTATTTGAAGCAGAAGGGCTGCAAAAAGAGGCTGCTTGAAGTCCCATTCAGCTTCATTTTTTAACACATCCAGGGATGAGCACAACTCCTCTGGACAACCTGGTCCAGTGTTCCATCACAATACTTGGAAAATTTTCCTCTTTATATCTAATCTAAATCTACTGTCTTTTAATTTTAAACCATTGCCTCTTGACCTGTCACTACAATCCTTGGTAAATATATCTCTCATTTTTTTTAATGTCAAAAGGCTGCAATAAAATCTGCCCAGAACCTGCTTTCCCCCAAACTGAAAAATCCCAGATTTCCACCCCCCCCCCCCACCTTTTTCCATGGGAGAGGTGTTCCAGGCTTATGAATGTCTTTGTGGACTTCATCTGGCCTCCTTTCACAGGTCCATGTCTGCCTTGTGCTGGGGCCTCAGAAGGTGACACAGTACTTTAGGTAGGGTCTCACAAGAGCAGAGTAGAAAAAGAGAATCACCTTCCTCGACCTGCTGGTCAGCCTCTCCCTCAATATGTAGACCAATCTAATTATGTAATTTCATCAGTAAAATCATCACTTTTGTTTTCATGTTCACACTGAATTTTGCCACACTTATGAAACACCATTTTCTTAGCCACTAGCCAGGCAGAAGCTTGGTAAAATTCTCAAAAAGGACTCCCTGGAAGGAGCTCCACTTTGAACTGTGAAGATCAACAGCAGGAAGGAACAGAAACTGCTGTTGGAGAAACTGGAGAGGTGTAAAACTGGGGTGTGGAAAATGCCTGTTTCTTGGCAGGGTCCCAAGCCTTCTTTATAGTAAACAGAGCAGGGAACTGGCTGTTCCTTAAGATTTTGTGTAATGGGGTGGTGCAGGGGAAGGAACAGCACTGCTGCCTTTGATGTTTGCCTGTTGACATCACATGAAGTAACAGTGGAGGGCTGCACTGAGGTGGTCTTAGTACACTATACAACTTTGCAACAGGAATAAGTTGAATGACACATAACTGACTCAACTTATTATATATAAGTCTGGCGACTACAATTAAAAAAAAACACTAGTTATGATGTTAGGAAAAGGACGTGTATTCCTTTCAAAAACTGCTTCCCAAGCTTCATGAAGCACACAGTATTTGCTTCTCCTCCGTGGTTTCACAAAGTGGACTGTGTGTTGACAGAGAAAGAATAGGCCTGTTGGAGGGTTGTGCTGATGTTTTGTAGTATTTCTTCCTGCCATCACCATTGCAATGGTGTTGTAAAGTCACTTTAGTAAGAGGAGGAGTTTCTAATCACAGTAGCCAGGAGAGGGCATGGCTAGGGTCCTGAGGTTATTCTGTACCACCTCAGGTCAGTGTCAAGGACAGAGGATGGAGGAAGCGGGGTGGGGTGGGGGGGCGGGAGGGAATGCAGTGAATGGGGGAGGGGAAAGGAAAGGGAGTCTATTCCCTTGTGGTTGAATAAGTGGTGAGAGGTTGGGTAACACTGATGCTGAGGGAGTGGTTGGGTAACACTGGTTCTGAGCATTTTGCATATGGATCTCTTATGTCTCTCTTGAACACTCTTCTTATGAATATTGCTGCTGTTACTGTTTTCTTATTTCATTGCTGTCTCCAGTAAATTGTTCCAAACGGAATTCATGATCTTTACCTTTTGTGTCCCCACTTCTCCTCTCCTTCCTGTCACAGGAGTGAGGGGGAAGAGAAGGAGGGAGCAAAGGAGCAGCAGTGTGATTTGGAGAGTCTCAGTGGGAGCACAAATTTGGGGAATAGCATTCCTAAACCATAACACCAGAACATACTACAAAGTCTGTTCAGAGTCCTTGAGAGAGGAGAGGAGAAGAAAAGTGTTGTTCCAGTCTTTAGGTAACACCCCAGGGAATCAGTGTAGGAGAGGGTTTTCTATAAAAGATGAAGAAGTAGCACAGGTTTTGAAAGTTAACATCAGAGTCAAAGCACTCTACTATTTTTTTAATATATAAAAGCTTTCTATTGGGTATTGTTCTTGTGGTTTGACAGCTCAAGGACCTGAAAAAACCTCTTAACAAGAAGGAATATTATGCTGACTCAGGGAAGAATGCCCAAAAAGAGAAGGTAATAACAATTTTGAGGAACATGCAAGGCATCCTGGTTGATTCTTTTGATTCTTCAGCTGCAGCTATCCCCCAGCTGGAAGAACGCATTCAACGGTAAGACAGTGGAACAAGGCCTCACTTTGTGTGATTCTGTGAAAGCAACAGGCCTGTCTTCTTGCATCCCAGTGAGATACGATTACATGATTTTCTAAGATGCTATTGTTTTAGATGGGTTCTTTCATGCTGTTCCTTTGGGATTTGTTCTCTTGTGGACTTCTGTCGTAAAGCCTGTACTTTTTTTCAGGCTCCAAATGCAAATGGCAAAGCTGGAAACCACAATCCAGCAGCAAGCCAAGACTATTGAAGTCTTTGAGACAATCCAGCAACCTCTTACCTCAGTAAGCCACTCAGAGCCTTCCCTGTTTGTGACCCATAGAGCCTAGTTCCATATTCATGTGGGAAAATTTTCAAATATTCAGGTTTTCCTAGAGGGAGTCTAGGAGAGATCAGATCATATAACTAGATAACCTGAAAGACCCAATAATATTCTATCAGAATGAGTATGGGGGTACATATTGGAAGGAAGATAAGGTGGTTTGGGAAGTTTGTACATTCTTATTATCTCAGCCAATGGGGAAAGAGAAGGACAATATGCAGTTGGGAGTTCAGGATAAAAGGAGACTGGATCCTCCAAAAACTCAAGAAACCCCACAGAGGTATGAGTTAATAGACTCTCCCTTTATTCAAATAAAGTTTCTTTTTTGCAGGACTCTTCTGTGGACACAGGTCTTTGTCACCATGATTTTCCTCACACTATCAAAAACTGTTTTGGAGAGAAGTTAGCAAAGCGAGCCAATCCCTGAGGCTGGGTCACCCTGCAGGTGTTTCCACCATTTTGGGTGTCTCTTTGTTGCCATGAGATTTGTGAAATTTAACAATTTTCTATCTAGTGATTACTTACTGATATTGTTTGCCTGTTGCTGTTTTGCTTGTCAATAAATTGTTATCTATTCTCTTATATCTACTTGCATTTGTTCCTTATGTGGAAATGGACTGGATGGAACTAAGGGGACGTAACTCATTTTACAGTGTTCACCTCTTTAAACTGTCTTAAACCAATACATATTTTTTAGAACTACCCTGGGAAGATGGTTATTGATATTCATCTTGGTAGATAGCTTTTCTGCATGGCTTTTCTGAAGCCTTTGTCTGTTGCACCAACAAACAGCAAAAAGTAACAGAAGTTTTGTTAAAGAAAATTATACCCAGATTTGGGGTACCACTAGGCCTGTCTTCAGACAGAGAATTTCATTCTGTGGCTAAAAGAGTTCGAAGTTTATGCAAAGTGCTTGGGAGTTACATGGGATCTCCATACTCCTTAGAGATCTTAGTCCAGTGGAAAAGGGAAAGGATGAACTGGAACTTGAAATAGCAAATAAGTAAGATTTGTCAAGAAATCTCACTAAGATGGCCTCAGGCTTTTTCTTTAGTGTTATTAAGAATTAGAATACAGCCTAGATCTAAGGAAATATTAAGTTATTATGAAATTATTTAACACAGGCTGTATTAAACTAACTATCTCAGGAGAAAGCCATGTGATAGGAAATAGTAATTTAAAAGAGTATGTATTATCTTCGGGAAAAGAGTTCTCAGTTTTGCATAGGTTTGTTGTTTAGCATCCTCAACAACCTTGGACATTCAGGTACATCCTCATCAACCCAGGGATTAGGTATATGTCCACATGTGGAATGATAAACCACTTAAGGAAAAGTGGAAAGGACCATTCCAAGTTCTCCTGGATACCCACATGGCTGTGAAAACTGTTGGCTGAGCCTCCTGCATTCACTACCCCTGAGCAAAGCTAGCCCCAAACTGGGAAACGCTTCACTGGGCTGTTCAGCAGACAGCAAATCCTTTACAGATAAGATTGAAATGAAATATTTAATAAATTGTACTTTGATCAAGTGAATTTTTTTTGATGGTTATAGAGTGCATGATCGTGTTTGTCTGAAATGAAAAAGTTAATGAAGATTATATTTCTATACTTCGTAGAATAGTAGCTCAAAGGGATATAGCTTCCTCTGGAGAAACTGGGAACCTCATACTAGATTTAGTTAAAGGGTTTAGCAAAATGTGCAATTAATATCACCACCTGTATACCTATCACTGAGTCAGTGAGCCAGACAATTCCCTGAGGAATTACAACACGCTGCAGAGACTAATCAGCTAAACAAAATTCTGCAGGAAATTGGGAATTAGTCACTGAAAGGTTGGCTACGCTACTTGAGGCCTTAATCTTTATTATAATTATCACAGTCATTATCAGAATTTGTTTAGGATCAATTCAGTGTCAGACATGAATTGAAAGTAATATATGGAAGCAGAGAGAGAAAACCTCTCCCTTTCCCAAAATGGGAAATTGGCATAAATGCTCAAGAGCCAGGAATATAGTCAATTGAAAAAGCAAAGCTGGAATACGAGATCACTAAAAGTACCCCTAGGTGGGATTGGCTTACCTCATGGCTAACAGATCTTAGATGGCTTAGAAAATTTTAATAACATGTTAGAATTTTTGCAATTTAAATCAAGCTTTAATCTCAGCTTCAAAAAATTTAAAATACTTAAATATTCAGTCTTTCATAAAAGAATGAGCTTGAAGTGGAAGAAAGTATGTTTGTCCCTATTCAGTAAACTTCTACACATGGACTTTGAAAAAATTTATAGTATTTAATAACCCTGCAACTATCTAGATGTAGACTGCTTGGACTGAAAGCGTTTTATTTAATTATTTTTCTGTAGTTCCAGATTGGCGTGTGTTATAGCTGCTCTTAGAGACTGCTATTACAGAAACAGTGTAAAAACATAATGAGGTCAAAGAATTGGAAATTTTTGAAGTGTTCACCTGAACTTTAAATGCTAACCTTACTTCTCCTCTCCTCTGCATGCTGCTTTGGCTGCAGGGCTGTGTCCTCCTTTTAGTTCATAGGGGAAATAGATAAAAGCATTGCTATCTTAACTGCTGCGTAATGTTTTGGTAAGAGCATTGCCAAGAGACTCTTGAGAGGAGTCCCTAGAAGAGACGCATTATGGTTCAGTTGCTGTCTAACTGATGCCTTCTCTGTGTGTGGAGCCACTTGGTTGGTCTCCATTTCCTGTCATGTAGCAAGTAGTTTTGCCAAGAGCTAAGGAAATTGAGTATTTTTGGATTTGCTATTCCAGCAGCAATCCTTAGGTTAGGGATAAACATGTGAAGGGTTGTGATAGGGTGTTAAAAACTCAGTTATTATTATATTTTGGTTTTTTAAACACTGCAAAGCCAAAATCTTACTTCAACAGCAATACTAGCACAGTTATTCTGAAAGAGAGAAGCAGTTTAAGACACCAAAATTTTCCTCTAAATCTGTATATCTCCTGCTTCTACTGTCCATTTGAAAATAGCTCCGCTCTGAAGTAGACCTAACTGCACACCACTACCTGCTTTGAGGCTTAGTCTTCCAAAGCTCATCAAACTGTTTCTCCTAAGGATAAAAAACAATGACCAAATTCCTACAGAAGGAAATATGAAAAAGTGAAGATTACACTGATAGCAATTTGGTACACAATGTCAATAATTTACAGCTGTGATTGAAATTTACTTTATTATAGAACATTTCTAAAAATTTTAGCTGCAGTATTTCAAATAGGGTTTCAAAACTCCCCTTCCAAGCACTTCCTCCTGTGGCCTCTTTACATCCATGCTGTTTCTTTTTATGGCAAATGCCTCCTCTGCCCCCCATAGCCAAAGTGCCTGGTTGTCTTCAAGCCATCAAACACAGGAGACCTGTTGCTGTAGTGCTGCCATTCTCTTCAAACGTGACAAGTAATTTTCCTTTTTCACAGCTGGAACTTGCCCTCGGCTGAGGGACTTTGAACTTAACAGTCTTGCTGGCTAAACATTATGATTCAAACAACAAAAGACTGTAATGATTTAATACCTGAATATTTATTTCAAAGTTGTGCTGATTTCTGGTAAGAGAAAGGATACATGGCTTAAAGTGACTGCAGGAGGAAGGCTGCTTTAATGAAGACAACTAACACTAATGACAGAGTTTTGAGCTTACACACTGTTATGCTTTGACTCAGATTCTTATTTTGAAGTTTGGAGGCTGCCTGTGCCTTGTTCAAATAGGCCCTGCATTTGTTAATATTCATATATGCAGCACATGCATTTCTACGGCCTATATTTAACTAGTAATATTTATGCAAAGCAATTTCACATGTTAAGCCACATGTTAATTTGGTCTTTAATTGTGGAACTGCTGTAAAACAACCCATTTCACCACTGCTTGGGTCCGTCGGAGCGAACTGCGACACTCAGAAGACAAAAGGAGCAGATGGCAGCTTCTCGCGGTTGAGCAGCCGACAGCGTGATCCACCAGAGCCCGGGCGCAGTCGATACGATGTGCAGGTGAGTGCACATAAACCCGGTGCAATAAGGGGCTGTGGGATCCTTTCTTGCTTTCTCTACTTCTTTGCTTTTTCCTACTTTTTTATATTTCCTCCTAATTGTCTTCCTTGGTAGTAAATAAAAGTGAGTTATCATTTCTATTACCAACATTCAGCCTCGTTTGTATCCTAATCTTGTTGCGGGTATATTCAAATTCCTTGCACACCCCGTGTTCATGGTTCAGGATGCATTCCTGAATTAAGACACGAAACGTTCTCTTGCTAGTATACCCATTTCAATAACTGATGTTACCACCGTGTGTGGTATCATTCATATAATGATCTTAAAACATGTTAAGGTCATTAAATGACCTTATCTAGCAGTAAGTATGTAAGGGAGTAAAATGTGTTCTCATTATTCATACGGATTAAGTAAAAAACAGAGGGATTAAGCTATGCTATCTGTAAAAGCAGCATGGGAACTAGCCATAAAACCTGGCAATCCTGTTTCTCCTCATCCCAGCTGCACATGATGCTCACTTTCACTCACTAAAACATGGACCAATGTATAGATCCCATTCTTCCTCCAGTTTCCAATAATGAGAAAAGATAATCTGACTTCTATGCTGTTTCTTAGCTGATTGAAAGATTCTATGAGAGAAATAACCTACTAGTGTTTTTAGACAGAATCTCAGAATGGTTTTGTTTGGAAGGGATCTCTGGAGGGTACCAGGTTCAACACCCCTGCTCAGGCAAGCACCAAGAACCAATTGTCTCAGACCATATCTAGACATTTTTTTACTACCTCCAGTGATGGAGATTCCACTCCCTGGCCAATCTGTGCCAGCGCTGACAAGAACAAAGTTTTTCCCGGTGTTCAAAGGGAACCTTCTGCATTTCAGTTTGTTCCCATTGGTTTTGGACCTGGCACTGAAAAGAGCCTGGCTGCATTTTCTTGTTCCTCTCCAGGTGCAGGACTTTGCACTTCTTCTCGCTGAACTTCATTAAGTTCTTGTCAGTCTGTTTCTCCATCCTGTTGACGTCCAGCATTGAGAAAGCATCTGATCATATTCCTGTGAACCACTATTGTGGGATGATGTTAAATTTAATTGACTCATGGGGGAGCATTTAACAATCTGTAGACAAAGTTAACTACATGACACAAGATCATCTTAGCAGCATGGAAGTTGGATGTCCATGAGTTGTATAGAATTAATGGTCTAAGACTCACTAAAAAGAAAAAAAGCGTGAAATCACAGCTAGGTATGAAGTAAGAATGCTAAAGGGGAATTGAAAGCTGGAGAAGAGTTTTAGCACAGGAGCAAGAGCTGAGGTACTCCAGCTCTGCTTCAATGCAGTAAAGCAAGGACAAGCTTCAAGACTCATATAAACAAATGGCAGCCAAAAATACTCACAGCCCAGATGGCAAGGCAGAGGCAAATCTCTTTTCCAGAATTCTCCCTGTGCCTTCATTTTGGTTTTCTTTGCTGGGTTTTTTAAGAGAGGAAGAAATGAGGAAATAGTATTTAGAAGGCAATTTTGAGATATCCATTATTGTTCTGTTGCTAGGATTAACTGGAACACATAAAACCG